TGTGTGTGTGTGTGTGTGTGTGTGTGTCTGTGTGTTTGTGTGTGTGCATATCTGCCAAAGTGTATGCTCGTAGTATTGATAAAAGTATAGGTCTGTATCAAAGTAATTTTGAAAAAATTTTTACTCTATTTATTATGTTAGATATTTGTCTAGATCAACGGACATTGAAAACAAAGGGGCATGCATACAAAACATGTATCTTACAGCCCCATGGTCAAAACTCAGATCTCATAGAACGAAAAGGTCGAATTTAAACCTGCCCAGCAGAACCGGTCTGGGTGGGTTGGGTACGTCTCAGTAAAAGTAAAAGTTGTTCCCGCATCCGATCCCCTTGTTAGTGAGACAACGGTGGTAGGGTGGTCTGGCCAATTCCTTTTCACGCCACCTTAACTTCCCCAACTCGAAGTCAGGTACCCATTACTGCTGGGTGTGAAGGAGGGGGCGAAAAAAAATGCGTGTCCGAACCGTGGCTCGAACGGGGACTTTCCGCTTCGGAGATGAGCGCACTACTAACCACTACGTCTCAGTAGGAATCTAAAATACTCCATGAAATACAATCCGAACTGTCTAAGACGGCCGTCCATGGTATAAGAGAAAAGTGGCCGTGTTAGACAGGTGGATGTTTTAAAGTGGCATGATTATGTAAAAAAAAAAAAAAAAGACGCATAAAGCGAGATCGGAAGTGTTCGTTCGCACAGGTGATTGTTTTATACAGGTGGTTGTTTAATACAGGTGATTGTTTTATACAGGTGGTTGTTTTATACAGGTGGTTGTTTTATACAGGTGGTAGTTTTATACAGGTGAATGTTTTATACAGGTCGTTGTTAGAGCAGATTCAAGAGTATTATTTATTCACTTTAACGATACTGTAAGCAGAAAATATGAGTTCAATCCTTAATGTAATAAATGCCTTATCAAGTGTCTCATCCTGAGTTAGCTTAACAGGCGAGATGGACGCAGCACATGTTCTATTAAGGTAATCTACAGATTCTATGTGGCATAATGATCAAATTCAGTCGCTTGTCAAAATGATGAAACGGGAGATACCGACATTTTTCGGCCTAGTGGGCAATTTCTAACGAAATTTTTGCTCGCGGCTGAACACCTTTCATGCCAAATTAAAAACACATTCATGTATGGATTTTACAAGAAAAAACGTTGATCAAAGGCATAAAGAATTGTATAT